TTGGCTTGGGGATCTATAGTAAACTCCCACAATGAGGTCTCTGTTATTCTTCTCTCCCTTAATTTTGACCCAAATCCTCTCACTTTGGCTTTGAGGTTCTAAATCTTGGATCTCTTCACAGGTATACACATCCCTGACATATAACGCCACTCCTCCCCCTTTCTTGTCTGGTCTGTTTCTCTTAAATAGATTGTATCCCTCCATTATTACATTCCAATCATGGGACTTATCCCACCAGGTTTCAGTGATGCCTATTATGTCATATTTAGTTTGCTGTACCAAGAGCTCAAGCTCATCTTGTTTATTTCCCATTTATCTACTTGCACTTTGTGCTTTCGAACTGCTAGGTTGGCAGGAGCTGGGACCGAACAACGGGAGCTCACCCCGTCGCGGGGATTCGAACCGCCAACCTTCTGATCGGCAAGTCCTAGGCTCTGTGGTTTAACCCACAGCGCCACCCGCGTCCCTGGGATAATATGTACACAGTTCCTATTTCCCTACCCCATGATTGGGTTAATGTCAGGGCAGCCAGTTTGTCTGGGTCAAATGAGTTGTGGTAGGAGACATCAGGAATATGTGTGGGAACTTGAAAGGGGAAAAGCTGACACAAAAGAAACTGTGGGGGTATCTGTTATTTCCCAAGGGTACTTCCCGTTTCAGCTAGTGCACTAAAACATCAACTGAAAAGAGCCTGATGCTTTTTCATGTGGCTAGACTTTGAAGAACGTTAATGAATTTTCAATTAAAAACCCAAGACAAGAAAATGTTGCTTAGTCAAACGACTTCTGGGAGAAGAGGCCACCAGATGGGGCACATTGTTGTTCTGTTTTGTTTATTATAACTGCTTGATATATGAGAGCCCTGCAGGTGCATTCCTGCTGCGCAAGTATTTTCCACTTCTATCGTCAGGTGGCCAGAAATGCAACCCTGCTTGCCTCACTGTGCAAAGCATGGCAGAGAGGACAGGAAGAATATTTCAGTGCTCTGGATATTTCAGCACTTTAAGTTTTTGAACGAACACTTTGCATCTTTGGTAGCTTTGCCAAAGAATCAATTTCGAGTACTTTCCAAAAAAGGAATTTTGTGGCACTTCAAAATAAATAAGTACATTCCTGGGCTTTATTCCAATCACAAATGCAGTTAATTTGGGGGTTAACAACCTCAACTTCAGCATCACTGGGCTTGAAACTGTGTCCCAAACTTGTAAGCAACCCAAATCTTCTTAAAGGCAGCGAGATCACAACCAGAGCATGATTTCATTTACAAGTCCGAACATAAACTGGAACGTCTCTACAAACACACACCAAGCAAAAATACTTTTATTTGAACAAACTGGGTGTTTAATTTATGCTCATAGTTTTTAACCACACAGATTTCTTTGGTTTAATGCCATAGGAACATCAGAAGTTGCCTTATCCCAGGTCATAGAATCATGGAATTCTAGAGTTGGAAAGGACCCTAAGGATTATATAGTCCAGTTTTTCAACCTTTTTGAGTCTACGTATCCCTTGAATTACATTCTTTCTGTGGCACTCCTGGGGGGCTCAGGAGCCCAGTGATGTCACCCCTTTCCTGCAGAGCTGGCAGCCTCTCACCCAATATGGCGATCGAGACCACAACTTTGGTGTTATCAGCACCACTCTCTAACCAACTGAGCTACCATCCATCTAGTCCAGTACTGACTAGCAGTGGCTTTCCAGGAATCCAGACAAGGTTCTGTCCCTGCCCTACCTTGAGATGCCAGGGGTTGAAATTGTGGACTTTTTGCATGCAAGGCAGATGTCCTACCACCAAGGTACAGTCCTTCCTCAATGTCACTTTGCTACAAGTTTTTGCCCAAACGACACATTTGTTTAAGAAAAGCATGAAACCTACATTCAGTGATCACGTTTCTGTACTTCAGTGGCAGCAGTGGGAAATCATGTCTATATTGCTCTTAAGTGCATGCACTTAGAGCAAAACAGATGTGCAAGTGAGCACTGCAAGTAAATCTTGATACCGAAGCACTTTCAGAGTAGTGTTTGATGCTCTCATATTTCCATTTCTGCAACACAACCACGGAACAAGTTATACAGAGGCAATTCGACTGAACCCAACCACAAGGCATCTCCCAACTAGTCATGCAAGGTGGTTGCTTCAGGCAGAAGTACACTGCTCCCACGTCATCACAAGCTCACCTAAACAGAGCCTGGAGGTGCTGCATCCTGTGCTGTGGCAAGCAGTTACTTTGCAGAGATTGTCATGAGCTGCTGCAGGCTCAAAATGAAAAGAGGCCATTGCCTATTCAGGTTGTCTTTGTGCACACATCTGTATTACAAGTAGGTTATGCTGTTTCAAGTTAGAGTTTACTCTTGTTCATCTTGCAACTAGTAGCAAGGCACAACTTTATCCCTAGTATGTCTTGTCGGATGAAGTCCATGGAAGATACAGTGTGAAGGGGAAAGGCTGAAATAAATACTAGCCATAGGATAGCAAGTTTAAAGCATGTAGGGCCTCACCTGAAGCCCAATTTAACAGAATTGCATAATAGTTGGAGGGTTTTAATGCAGTTCTCCTCTTTGTTATTCCCCAGTGTATGATTGGGAACCAGCAGCAAGGTTTACACTGGAAGCAATTCATTTATACCTGCCAACCTAACCCAGTACTCTCGATGTTTTGAGACTACAGCTCAAACCAGCATTGGAAGGCTGGTTTATATGGCTTTTTGAAAGGCAATTGCCCACCTCAAAATAGCAAGGCTTTTGAAAGGAGAGTTTCGAACAGTTTCTTATATGGCTCTTGGAGTGGCAAGTTGCAGTGCAAAGTGCAGTGTCTAAACCTTTGGGATTTAAGTAGCTTGCTGGAGCCTAGTCATATTAATGAAATTAAGAGTCAACTACTGAAAATTGCCCAAATCACATGTACTCTTTATCTTTCACTCTTTAAGTCTATAGGAGCACCACAACCAGCTATTAAGCATCTCTTTACCATTGCAAGGAGAATCATAGCGCTGCTGCATTTATCAAACTGGGTTGGCATCTGAACTATAGTATACTTTGTTCTCACTATGAAAAGTGGCAAATTAAGGAGGGCAATGCACACTGAAGGACTTTTCACTCTTTAAAAAATACACTGTGCAGCTAAAAAAACCCCTGTGTATTTTCATCAGAGCTTCAGTGTGCAGTATGTGCTTTCTTCTGTGGGAGAAATAATGGAAGATGATAATAATAAGTCTACAAAAGCATTAACTGAAGTACCCATTCTATTTTCATAATGAAAATACTGAAGAGACTGCAAGTTAATTAGATAAGTGTTAAATATGCATAAACAGAAATCCTCCCTAAACGCCATTTTCCAAACAAAGTATTTATCATGGGAGCTCTCAATTTGAAGTCATTTTTCTACGGAAAACAACAGAATGGTAATCTTGCAGTTTTAAAAAGCAAGCCATTTTAACACCAGGCAGACAAACTGATGTTGTATTTCATACAAAATAGTAAACAGTGCCATCTGCTGGTTAACCTTTCCGTTCATTTAATCTTCTACCTACCAAAATCATGTTTGATATCAAATTAAGTTTTAATATGTTTGTGGCCAGAACCCAAAGAGCACCTGAAGTTAATGAAAGGGGTTTTTACTACGATGGTGGAATTTTTTTACTTTTCCCCTTCACAGATGCCTAATCTGCAAGTCAGGGGTTCCCAAACTGTGGTTCATGGACCACAAGGAATCATAGAATTGTAGTCACCTTCATTCTGGTAGTCCACTGTGTGTCAGTGAACTTGTAAGCATGCCTTACATTACATTAGAAATTTGCCCGAGACAGATTAAAAAGAGTAGAAGTCAATAATTGTGGCAGCACAATCTGTGTACCACAGCGAAAATGCACATGCTTGAGACATATTGCTTTAAATTGTAGGTAGGGGAGCCTCCCATACAAAAAAAGCAAGCCTCATAGAAAACGAGTGTGGCTAAGTTTTTAGCCTTCTTTTCAACAACTGTTTTGCTAAATGTAGGACATTATATTGCAGCAACAAATACTCAACTATGTGAGCCCCCACTAGAGGGAAGGTTTTCAAGATTCCCTGCCGTCTAGAAGCTTCTACCACGGTAATGTCCAGTTTGCCCACTACACCCAGCATAAACATATCACAACTCAAACCAGTGTAAGTCATCCTTACCTGAAAGCAAATGCCACACTGGCAACACCTGAACACTGCTTCACTGGCAACACCTGAACACTGCTTCCCAGCCACTGAGCAACAGACCAGGTCTGGTGTGGGGAAACTACTGTGCAGAAACTTGGGAGCCAGGCGAATGATCAAGCACACATGGAACATTTCAGTCAATTCATATCTTAATGCAAGTACAGGGTGAGTCCTTTAAAAAAGGCCCCACGGATACAGAGTACACGTTCCATGGGGCCTTTTAAAAGACTCACCCTAACCAGGCAATTCACTCAAACACATTGCCCTTGCCTTATTAAAGGTTGTATTCAAGAACATATGAGAAATTTGTGCATGTGCTTTGTATTACTCATCGGGGGTGGGGGTCAACCTGCAATATACTGCCTGTATTTTAACACAGTTGTATACGGTTTTGCCTTTTAAACACCAATTAAAGCTCTGTAGCAGTGCTCTGCTTTGATCAATTTTCTGTTTTTATATTTATTCTATAATTTTACCACACAAATTCTTAGGAAAATGTAACCTCTGGCTGCAGATTGCATAACTTAGAACATGGAAAAGCAGGACTTGACCATGGAACAGCAAAGAAAATATGTATGTATGTTTGTATGCATGTGTGTGATTGCTTTGTCTGGGAGCAGGGGCATGGCTCAGGAGAGTAAAGAGGGTGCTATCCATGGCACTCTCTGAAAATGCTATTTAACTAGAGAATATACACTGTGATACAGTATCTGGAGTGAAATCTCCTGCTAGTTTCTAATAGTTGTGGATTTAATCTGCGTCCTCCTTTGAGGACAGAACCACATTTTAACACAAGACAACACACACAGAAGATGTCGGTCTTGCTATTTCATTTAAATAGCAACGTAAATGTGTTTATTGCCATACAACTAAATCAGCCAAAGCACTTAAGAGCACCAGCATTGCTCTTGTACAGCTCATTGATCCAAAGAGCCAAACATAGGAATAGTGCTTAGATTGATTGCACTTTTGAAAGTCCAGACAAAATTTCACTTTAGGCATTGGAGTATCTTGAGAGGATTCAGATGTACCTGAATTTCATGTTATACTTCCTTTGGTCTGTTTAAGAGAAATTTAACCAGTTGAACTAGAATTTCATCATTAAATCCTTTCACATTGTTTTCTTCGATTGCTTCGTACAGCGGCCTACTTTCAGTTCCCCAGCAAATATTCTTTCTTGGGTTATTTTTATCAGAATCAGCAGATAGAGCCAAGGTATTCAACTGGTAACAAAAGAAGCTGAAGTATCTTCCGTCGGTAATCACAGCCTGCGATACAAAAGGCCGGGTCACATCTGCTTCACTCCAGAATCCTGGGAGAGAGGGGAGGAAAAAATCAGCAGCTAAACAAAAGCATTTTCCTATCAACAACCAAAAAAAGCAGCAAGCCTTTAAAAGCAAAGTCATTGCAGATCCATTGTAAAAGGTTGAATATTTTAATAGCTTACTAGCTTTTCCCATCCTGGTGCCTTCCGGATGTCCTGGACAGCTTCTGCCATCTACTGGTCTTTGCTGGCTGGGGCTGATGAGAACTGCAGTGCAAAACATCTGGAGGGCACCAGGTTGAGGAAGGCTGGTTTAGAGCTCCAACTTTGCAGTCAGTCATGCAACTTACAACAAAGAGGAAGGGCCCCTAGAGGGGAAATAGCCTGAATAAAACACCTTATGTCTGGCAAGAACCAAGAGTCAGCCAGAGACTTGTGTGACATGGTTTCTAAAGCAGCAAAAGAACAAACTAACAGCTATACAGGTAAGGAAAAGGTAAAGGACCCTTGGACGGTTAAGTCCAGTCAAAGGTGACTATGGGGTGCAGCGCTTATCTCGCTTTTAGGCCAAGGGAGCTGGAGTTTGTCCTCAGACAGCTTTCCAGGTAATGTGGCCAGCATGACTAAACTGCTTCTGGTGCAACAGAACACTGTGACGGAAGCCAGAACACACAGAAACACAGTTTACCTTCCCATCGCAGTGGTATCTATTTATCTACTTGCACTGGCATGCTTTCAAACTGCTAGGTTGGCAGGAGCTGGGACAGAGCAATGGGAGCTCACCCCGTCACAGGGATTCAAATTGCCAACCTTCTGATTGGCAAGCCTAAGAGCCTCACTAAGAGGGACCACAACGCCACCAAGATATTCAATATACAAGATATTCCCCATTCTACAAGGGATCATAGCTGCTCACAGATCAACACCCTTCACCTCCTCAATCTGCAAGACCATGCCAACAACTTTTTCATGGATTTCAAGTGCAGATACTAGTCCCACCTCACTTCCCCCCACACACTGGGTTTATCTGTTCCACCCCAGCCTTTCTGTATTGAGTGGGAAGGCCTGAAGGCAGTTTGCAAGCATGTTCAGTTAAGCACATATACAATATCCCAAGCAAGCATGAACCATGTATGATTAGAGGTCCTAATCACAATGAGACTTGCTACCATGTTCCTCAGAAGTATTTATAAGCCTCTTTCAGATCTTCCAGTTCAACATGGGAAGGCCAAGTGCGAAGTGGGCATGCCTATTGCTCACATACTCCACATTCACATATTCTTTAGAGTGCATTAATAGGGCTAAGATAAATCACATGGCTGTATCATCTTCTAAAAGTTCTATTTGTGAGCTTCCTATTTACCTTATCTTGCAACACTGGATATCATCTTTAACTACTGACCTACCTTGGTACATTGCTTGTGCTCCAGTCCAAGCAAAAAGACTTGCAATTGCATTAGCACGGCAAGGAACTTCAACCTGATCGAAGAGATTCATTTTTATAAGCCTGTCCCTTTTCAGCCTGTCGGGAATTAAATGAAACTGCGTATGCCCATAGGCACATGGATCTGCTACATTTGATCCTATATCCCACAAGAGAAAGAACTGTTTTAGATTTTAGCACGTAGAATGCTTAGATAAAAGTACCAATTCATCCAATGACAGATTTCTTAGCTGTTTTATCTTCAAATTTCTTAACAATACAGTGATGCTGACAGGTATGTTTTTTAAAAATTAATTTAAATATGAACACAATGCCATACAAAGTGCAGCTGTTTTATATCCTTTGCAGACGAACACAGTATGTATAGACGGTCAGGTCATGCATCCATAGCCGAGACCAGAGGACGAATGACCGCTGGAAGGAGCACAGAGACACAAAACTCTATGGTGCATCTGCAACAGCACAACCAGATACCTTCATCTGCCCCAGCTGCAATAAAACAGGTCTCTCCCGTATCATTCTCTACAGCCGCAGCAGGCGCTGTAACCTTCCAACCGTCTGACTTCACTCCCAAAGGTGCACTCCTCCATTGTCTCCCCAAGACAGACTGATGCCAACTAACAAGCCTTTTAGATAAAGATTGTGAACCTTTAGAAATATCTAACATCTACTTCAAGCAAGGAGTAAATGTAAAGTGCCTAGGCCATTTTGAGATCAGGAGTGCACTGGCTTAGCACGCTATGCCAATATAACAGTGTCACAGCTATAATTTGTTCCAAAAAAAAAATTAGGCATCCTAATCAAACAAAATATAAAACTTGAAAATATTTCACTATAGTAGCAAAGTGAACTACACAATGAACTGCATGCTGCAAAATTCGTAGTTTAAATGCCAACTCAACTTCAACATTGCTATGTGTATTAAGAAAGCCACTGTTATTTCAGCCAGTTAACCCCAATGTATAATGTCAGGATAACAGTGGCCCACTTGAGATATTGACCATAAGGTTTAATACAACATATGGAAAGCAATTTGAAAGGTTATCTGCAAATGCCTAATATCATGAATTGCCAATATCATGAGTTGCTGAAGTCCTCTTGCAAAGTGATTAATTTTGTTAAAAAAATAAACATGAAAACACTGAAAAGAATGGCATGAATTATATTTTGTTCATATTGAATTACAGTGGTGCCTCGCAAGACGAAATTAATCCGTTCCACGAGTCTCTTCATCTTGCGGTTTTTTCGTCTTGCGAAGCATGGCTATTAGCGGCTTAGCGGCTATTAACGGCTTAGCGGCTTTAAGAAAAAGGAAACAAACTCGCAAGAACTCGCAAGACATTTCGTCTTGCGAAGCAAGCCCATACAGAAATTCGTCTTGCGGAACGACTCAAAAAACGGAAAACCCTTTCGTCTAGCGAGTTTTTCGTCTTGCGAGGCATTCGTCTTGCGGGGCACCACTGTACAGCATCAAGACATGTTAAAGTATTATGCATCTGAAGTATCTGTCTACAAATTCATTGAGTAGAGACTTTATAGATTAGCATTCTGATGTGGCAATCTTACCTATAAATATTTTATTATCATACTGTCGTTTGAACATTGGAAGCTTGTCAGGCAAGACATTAATAACAGGAATATCTCCAGGAGCCACATAGTCCAGGGGCACAAACTTAAGGGGAGAAAAAAGAAAACCAGTTCAATAAACTGATATATAATCACACAGTATTATGCATTTAAAAAAAAAAATGCCCTGCTTTACACCACTTCTGCTTACAAAAAATAAAAACATACAAAATTTAAAACATACATTAAACCATTATTTTAAAAAACAATTATAACATAATTATGAATGATAAGAGGGTGCTCTCACTATTGACCACTTAAATATTTGACCTAAATTACAATGTAATTTGTTATTTACCACTAGCATGATTGTCTACAGGGAGATGTAATTCTCTCAAATGATTTCACAATGCTATAACATCAGCAGACATAGTGGCTTACTACTGTGTCCATACCAGGCTCATGGTTTGCCTTGCTCCAAACCAACCATGAGCTGTAGCCAAGGTTTGTTCTTGGCCTACCGCTCACAGCTTGTTTAGGGGAGACAAACCACGTCATAGACCTACAAGCACGCTTTTAATTCCCTTGTTCTCCCTGACTGAGGTGCTGCTACTGCTTCAGTGTTAGAAACTGAGATATGAAAGCTTGGAACTAAATGGCACCTTAAACCTAGGTTATGGGTGCAACAACGGAATGTCTAGGTGCACTTTTTAATAACAGTACAAAGCTGAAAATGAATGAATTGCAGCTAAAATATTGTGCTCATTTTTCATATGGTCTAGTCCTTCCCATGCCCACCCTCCCTAATATTCTTAAGAAGGTCTCTTCTCCAGTCTTCAGAAAATTAGTGGAAGTGGGGAGGCAGAAAAAGGTCCTCCTTTCCTTCCACTCTGCAGTTTTAATCTGAAATCTTAACTGCAATACTGTGCCCAGAGTTCAGATGCTGCTCGTGCTATGACATTCCCTATCGCAAAATGCACCTAAAACAATGAGTTTTGAACACTGTACTACTTCATACCACTCAACTCACTTTACAACAGGTTTAGCCACCTAGCCAATCAATATGACTTGAAAATAAAAAAGGCTCCAATGAATCCAAAGGGGAGGTTATCCATAGTATATCAACATCTCATTCATTCTGGATTCCCCCTCTCCCTCGCAGTCCTCTGAGTACCCATAAAATATTTTCTGGAGGGTTGGGGAGCCTCTACAGCAGATTTGGGAGGCATGAGGAAAGTGCATAGGAGAAAGGGAGAGTCCGCTTGCACAATATTGGATGTTGCAGAAGTACCAGCCCTCGGGGGGGGGGTGTAAAATGTATCTTTGCATGAGCCATCAATCTCCTTCCATTCAGATGACACACCCAAATCAATGAGTTATGAAAAAACCTAGGGGGTGAGGTTTTCTGAGGATAAATAGTTATTACTGCTATACACTTTCCAGTTTTAATTCGGAAAAATAATGTGCCTTAGTTATCAAGCATTTCCGGAAAACTGTGCTATAGTCTAATTTCTTCATAACAAGGGCTATTTCACCCAATACATATTCAATTTAATTAAACTGTAGACTTCAAAATGTGGTATATAATAGAAGAGATCTATTTGGGGGTCGATACTTGCCCCTGAAGTAACCAGAAATAGCAAATCCATTAATCTTTATGAAATTGGACTTCATACCTCTGAAAGCTGTTTTCGTATACGAATCTGACAGTGAGGTTTATCATCAATCTGAAATCTCAGTGGGTCAATTCTACCCTTTCGATGTCCACGAGGAACCACCGTCTCACCACGCAGCCAATAGAAATTTACTTCTGGTTTGAGGTCTGAAATAACAAGAGTGTCTTTAATGCCTCCTGCAGTCAAGAGTCCACCAGAGATATTAAACATGCCTGTATTCAAGGATGTATGCATGACCACATAGCAATTTTTGTGCACACGTACATGCTGAATATCTGTGCACACGTCTGAACCTTAATATGTGAAAAATCACAGTAAATCAGGTAAATGAGGAACAACTACAACTGATGGAAGCTGTAGAGAAGTACTTTCAACACCAGAAGCACCTGTACTAGACAATGCTAGATAAATGTCACCAACGAAACAGAAGCTACTTGGAATTATGTATGGCGTCCATCTCTGATCTGTACAAGAAGGGGATTTTATGCATCTCTATGCTTCACAAATTATTTGCTATGCATGTGTGTAACTGATTAAAAGTATAACACCTCCCCCCCCCCACAAACACACATTCCTCCTTAGTGCACACATTGCTAGAGATCATGACTAGATTATTATTATTTCATTTGTGAGTCACTTTATCTTACCCAATGCAACTTACAACCAAACAAATGATAAAACCCTGCATGGGTACATTAAAACCAAGGAGGGAAAGAAATACATTGATGGGTATACCCGGAAGCTGTAAACCGGCTCCCTTGGCCAATAAAGCGAGATGAGCGCCGCAACCCCAGAGTCTGGACCTAATGGTCAGGGGTCCTTTTACCTTTAATAGCTATTAATGATAAATTAACATGTGCCATTAAGGTAAGACGGGGAATATGCAGGAGAAATGACTTTGTGGAGATATGGAAGGTGTTTGTAGAACGGAAAGAGGTCAAACCCATCACAAGAGATATTTAAAATTTTGGAAGGTTGGATAGCTACAATGGAATTGTTTCAGTGGTGGGGTGCACATTTTTATTCTTATTTATTATTATTGTCAAAAGGAAAAGAAAAGAAATGCATTGAATACATCTCACCCACTTCTAAAAGGACAAAAATGGTTAAAGGCAAAAGGCCTGGTTCTAGAGGAAAGCTTTTTGCCTGGCACTTATATAAAGCTATATAAAGAAATTGACAGAAACCCCCTTCCTTTTTTATTTTTTTTATTCCTGGAAGCCAACAGCTCAGACTACTGGAATACCTTCCTCTCACCCCTCTTTCTCTCTCTCTCACACACACACACGCACACGTGTCCCACTGCCCACCGCCCCGCGCTTACACACACGCACCCAGGGCCGAGGAGGAGCCGAGCACCGGGTTGGCGCTGGCCAGTCGGGCCGTCAGGCTGAGCGCCAGCTGCGTGAGGAAAGGCGACGGCCCCTGCTCGATGGCGCGGAAGAGAAAGGGGCGCCGCTTGCGCTGGTAGAAGTGCTCCTGGAGCAGCGCGTCGCACACCGCGGAGCGCAGCTCGGCCAGGTCCCAGCCACCTCCTTCCCCTTCTGCTGCTCCTGCCGCCACGGGGGCGGGCAGCCCCGGCACGAAGACGGTCTTGGTGTAGTCCTGGTACCAGCGGTCCGCGTTGACGGCCCACGTCTGCGGGTAGACCACGTACTTGCGCCGCTGCCGCTTCCCGTAGATGCGCAGCTTCTCCTCCACCGAGGGCGCGTCGTGGATCTCCTGGTAGAAGCGCTCCCGGCGGCGCTGCTTGGCCGCCTTGCTCTTCGCCGTCAGCGACGCCACCACCGGAGGGTAAAGCGACGGGGCGGCGGCGTCAGGGAGAGGATTCGGCACCGGCGGCGCCGCCGAGGGGCCCGCGTGGAGCCACCGCCGCGGCCAGCCATCGCGCAGCAACCGCAGCCCCCTGGACGCCGCCATCTTGCCCGCGAGAAACGGGAAAAGGAAAAGGAGCGGGGAGGGCCGCTTCCGGGCGCCCCTCACGTGACCCGCAGAGAGAAGGGCAACCTGCGCGCTCCCCCGACGCTCGGCGGGAGAGAGGGGCGACGACTGGCAACTGCGCATGCTCGTTGTCCTTAGACGGACGCGTGTGGGATTGGAGCTTCAGCGGCGCCTTACAATTCCATCCGGGTTATATTTGTATGTCGCCTTTTCCATTTCTATGACCACGCTCGAGGTGGCTTGCAGCATGCAATAAAAAAATTGATCAAATTTAAAATTTATGTCCGTTTATTCTTTGGCGTAAGGTTTCTATATTGGACAAACAGGCCAAACCTTACGCCAAAGAATAAACGGACATAAATCTGACATCAAGAATCACAAGACAGAGAAACCAGTAGGAGAACACTTCAATCTCCCAGGACATTCTATACAAGATCTCAAAGTAGCTGTTTTACTACAAAGGAATTTCAGAAATAGACTGGAAAGAGAAGCTGCTGAATTGCAACTCATTACCAAACTTAAAACCATGGAGAGACCTGGTCTGAACAAAGACATTGGATTCTTATCTCATTATACATGACAAAGCCATTTTTCACCTTCTCACCCCTTGCTTTTTCCTGTAAGACCTATTGCAGTCGTTAAGAGTCGTCAACAGGCTCATCACAGCTATCTGCCAATCACCCATTCCCACCACCCTTCTGAGTAATACCCCTCCCCACCTTCTCACTATATAGAAGGATCTGGCAACTTCTGTTTCAGTGTATCTGAAGAAGTGTGCATGCACACGAAAGCTCATACCAAGAACTAACTTAGTTGGTCTTTAAGGTGCTACTGGAAGGAATTTTTTTTTGCTTTAACTGTAACAAAATTAGCCATAAACAAAGGAAACACATCAAAAAGAGTATGCAAGCAAAATAAACCCATTTCCATGTAAACCATTAAAAAATAAATATGTACAAACGGAAAATGCCTCACTCCACACCTGCACCAGTGGTTGCTGTGGCATTACCAGTAGCTAGAGGCAGGTGCTAGGAAACTACATAGAATTGGTAGGAGCAGTTGGATGTAGGTGAGGCGAGACCAGCTATGTGGCTAGAAGTAGCAGCAGACAGGACACCAAAGGCTATGCACAATTTCCTGCAGAAGTACAGTGGTACCTCAGGTTAAGTACTTAATTTGTTCCGGAGGTCCGTACTTAACCTGAAACTGTTCTTAACCTGAAGCACCACTTTAGCTAATGGGGCCTCCTGCTGCTGCCGCGCCGCTGAAGCATGATTTCTGTTCTCCTCCTGAAGCAAAGTTCTTAACCTGAAGCACTATTTCTGGGTTGGCTGAATCTGTAACCTGAAGCGTATGTAACCTGAAGCATATGTAACCCAAGGTACCACTGTAGAATCCAGGCAAAGTGCCCATCTGTCCAATGGAAGGTCCAATCCTTGAGTTCACAAAGTGATTACGTATTAGATCATGCCTATGGAGTGGCTCAGAATATGCTACCAAGGGGCTGAAGTAATTTGAGGCTTCTGCTCCAAAGGATCCGATCCCATTGCATTTCTTGAGGATTTCAGATGCTACGATCATTTCCAAAGTTAGCTATTCAGGTAACGGTTTTGTTCTTGCATTTGCTAGGTCTGTGTCAGTGGTACCCAGCACTGTGGCATCCAAATTCTCTATCCCCTCTTGAAAATTTGCCAAAGGCCTTACATATGGTATATTATTGCATCACAATTTGAATTCAAAGTGTAATGCAATAAAATACAGAATAATAAATAAAAGAAGCAATGGAAAGACAATTAAAAATCAGTACAGTGGTACCTTGGTTCTCAAACTTAATCCATTCTGGAAGTCTGTTCCAAAACCAATGTGTTCCAAAACCAGGGCACACTTTCCCATAGAAAGTAATGCAAAATGGATCAATCCGTTCCAGACTTTTAAAAACAACCCCCAAAACAGCAATTTAACATGAATTTTACTATCTTACGAGACCGTTGATCCATAAAATGAAAGCAATAAACAATGTACTGTACTGTAAAATAAATAAAACAGTATTGTAGATGATAAAAATAAAAATTTCTTACCTGCACTGTTGATAGTCATTGTTTGGATGGGGGGATTTTATCCACTTCCGCAGTCACACAATCAATCAGCAGCTGAACTGGGATCCACACAGTCACAAAAATAAATTAACTGAAAAAGCCTCAAAACAAAAAACGCAAAAGAAATAGCAAAAACAAAAGCACCAAATATAAGCTGCAAATATCACCTCAGAGAACTGCAATTGGAAATGGAAGGCTTGAATTACAATTGGGGGGGGGGGGACGACGCAAATTAGCAGCGCAACAGGAAACACAAGGGGACTCAAAATGAAGCACATTCGGCTTCCGAAAAAGAGTTCCAAAACCAGAACACCTACTTCCGGTTTTGTAGCATTCGGGTTCCAAGTTGTTTGTGAATTAAGCTGTTCGAAAACCGAGGTACCACTGTATGGATATTGAACGCAGCAGACATGCCATCTCCCATCCTTGATCACAAATTTATAGCCGTGTTGTGGACCCCTGAATAAAGCTTGCAGACCATAGTTTGGAAATACTGGTCTATATTTTATATACACACAGTATATGTCATCTAATGTGGAGTAGTGCTTAGTGTGCTGGACCAGGACATGAGAGATTAGGGTTCAAATTCCCACTAAGCCATGAAGCCCACTAATTGATTTGGTACAAGTGACTCTCAGCTTAACCTATCTCACAGAGCTGTGAGGATAAAATGGCGGCGGGTGAATTACCTTGAGCTCTTCTTTGGAGAAAAGGCAAAATATAAATGTAATAATAATATAATTGTAGAGTTGGAAGGGACCACAATGATCATGTAGTCCAACTCCCTGTGATGTAGGAATCTTTGCCCAATGTGGGACTTGAACCCATGACCTTGAGATTAAGAGTCTCATGCTCTACCGACTGAGCTGTTAAACACACACACACATATATATGAATGAAATGTAAGCAAAGACTCATGTACGCTGTCAGTCATAGTCAGAGCAGATCTTTCAAAATCAACGGATTTAAGTACTGTAACTTAAATCCATTGATTTCAATTGGCCTACTCTGAGAATGATTTAGTTGGAGATCATCCAAAGTATTTTAGATGGATTGTAAACCAGTGACCTGAAACACCATCAATTTATATGCCTGGCAGGGGGCCATTTCCTTTTTGTCATTTCAGTTTGTCACGTTCCCAAACTGAATTATTGCAAATTTAGCAGCAAGTCAGCCTCCAGACGATAATTTAGAATTGTATCTCCTTTCAGCAGGGAAAACTCATTATCTGCTCAAGAAGGGGCTTTGCCATATGAAACCCATGTGGAAAACCCACAATTTTCCTGCACTTGTCCAAATGTATTTCACAGGCATATAAAACATTTCTGACAGGCTGTATTCCCGTACAGCATATATCAAAACTATAACAAGAAAAAAGGAAAAGAAAAATCATTCCATGTGGTATTATTATATAGAGACCAGGCATCACAGAGTCAGACAAGCTGCAATTTTAATTACACTTATTTGGAAGCAAGCTTCATTGAAACAGATGGGATTTATTTTATTTAGCTCTGGTGTGTGTGTTGAGTTCCAATATAGGCTCCTGCAACCTGCCTTTATGACTTGCTTAGACAGCAAATGTGTGACATGTCCAGGGCACCTCTGCCATTCTAAGAGAATGAGGGAGGTGTTCATGGTGAGTTCGGGCACCACTTTTTCTAAGGGGGGGGGAGGCACTGAGTGTGCCCTTTGCCACTCCCACTGCAATTTCACAAATGAATGTTAATTTGGCATTGCAGGTAGATATACCATTACCTTAGTTTAGCAACTAGTATCACTAGCTCATTTTGGGTGGAGAGGGCTGCAAAGCTGACCCCCCCCCTCAGAAAATGCACAGTTGCAAAGGACACTGCCTTGGATTCTGAGTGCAAGAAACCTTGGAGGAAGAGGATTTTCCTGTCCTTGTCTCTACTGCACCTCACTTTCTGGAGGATGGCTGCAGAACATAAGAACCGGCTGAATCAAGCCAATGGCCCGTCAAGTACAGCAGCCTGTTCCCAAAGTGGCCAGCCAGATCTCTGTGGGATACCCACAAGCAGGGGAATTTCTTTATCTGGGGAGTAGAAACCCACCTCATTCCTTGAGGATGAACTGGGTGAGGCAAAGCAGAACTTTAAAAGTAAATGGAACCCCCATGAAATTAAAAGACGCCTGCTTCTTGGGAGAAAAGCAACGACTAACCGAGACAGCATCTTAAAAAGCAGAGACATCACCTTGCCAACAAAGGTCCGTATAGTTAAAGCTATGGTTTTCCCAGTAGTGATGTATGGAAGTGAGAGCTGGACCATAAAGAAGGCTGATCGCTAAAGAATTGATGCTTTTGAATTCTGGTGCTGGAGGAGACTCTTGAGGGTCCCATGGACTGCAAGAAGATCAAACCTATCCATTCTGAAGGAAATCAGCCCTGAGTGCTCACTCGAAGGACAGATCCTGAAGCTGAGGTGCCAATACTTTGGCCACCTCATGAGAAGAGAAGACTCCCTGGAAAAGACCCTGATGTTGGGAAAGATGGAGGGCACAAGGAGTAGGGGACAACAGAGGATGAGGTGGTTGGACAGTGTTCGCGAGGCTACCAGCATGAGTTTGAGCAAGCTGCGGGAGGCGGTGGAGGACAGGGGTGCCTGGCATGCTCTGGTCCATGGGGTCACGAAGAGTCGGACACGACTAAACAACAACAAGAACCCCCCAAACAACAGGCTACTGTTGTAGGACGTTAATCAGAAGGAGAAGCCCATGGAAAAATATAGGATCACTTTTGTACCAGGACATGGTTTAACCAGTGTTGAAGCAATGATTCTTCAACATCAACTTTGTTGGACTGGTCATGTTGTGCAGATGCCTGATGATCGTCTTCCAAAGCAACTACTCTATTCCGAACTTAAAAATGAAAAGAGTAATGCTGGTGG